GTGCTAGCAGACCACCCATTATCAATTCTTTTCCACATCATTTTCCCGGGAATCTGCCACCTGCACACCCGAATCCTTTGTTCTACTTTATGTACCTACTTATTAATGTATAGGAATAAGTCTCTCTATCCCCTTGGGGCATGATTAAACATATTAAACAATTACCCTGTCATGCAGACCCTATCATTATCGCATTTTCCATGGTCATTATCCGGCAGTGTTCCTAGATCGACCAACTTATACTACTCCAGTAACTCTGCATCCCCAGTAACTCTGCATCCCCAGTAACTCAGCATCCCCAGTAACTCAGCATCCCCAGTAACTCAGCATCCCCAGTAACTCAGCATCCCCAGTAACTCAGCATCCTCAGTAATTCATCATCCCCAGCAACTCAGCATCCCAAGTAACTCAGCATCCCCAGTAACTCAGCATCCCCAGTAACTCAGCATCCCCAGTAACCCAGCATCCCAAGTAACTCAGCATCCCCAGTAACTCAGCATCCCCAGTAACTCAGCATCCCCAGTAACTCAGCATTCCCAGCAACTCAGCATCAAAGTAACTCAGCATCCCCAGTAACTCTGCATCCCCAGTAACTGCATTCCCAGTAACTAAGCATCCCCAGTAACTCAACATCCCCAGTAACTCTGCATCCCCAGTAACTCTGCATCTCCAGTAACTGTGCATCCCCAGTAACTCTGCATCCCCAGTAACTCAGCATCCCCAGTAACTCAGCATCCCCAGTAACTGCATCCCCAGTAACTCAGCATCCCAAGCAACTCAGCATCCCCAATAACTCAGCATCCCCAGTAATTCTGCATCCCCAGTAACTCAGCATCCCCAGTAACTGCATCCCCATTAACTCAGCATCCCAAGCAACTCAGCATCCAAAGTAACTCAGCATCCCCAGTAACTCAGCATCCCCAGTAACTCAGCATCCCCAGTAACTCAGCATACCCAGTAAGTCAGCATCCCCAGTAACTCAGCATCCCCAGTAACTCAGCATCCACAGTAACTCTGCATCCCCAGTAAGTCAGCATCCCCAGTAAGTCAGCATCCCTAGTAAGTCAGAATCCCATGTAACTCTGCATTCCCAGTAACTCAGCATTCTCAGTAACTAAACTTCCCAAGTAACTCAGCATCCCCTGTAACTCAACTTCCCCAGTAATTCTGCATCCCCAGTAAGTCAGCATCACCAGTAACTCTCCAAACCCCAGTAAGTCAGCATCCCTATAAGTCGCATCCCCAGTAACTCAGGATCCACAGTAAGTCAGCATCCCCAGTAACTCAGCATCCCTTTTAAAACTCTCCCCCCCCAGTAACTCTGAATCCCCAGTAACTCAGCATCACCAGAACTCTGCATCACCAGTAACTCTCCATCCCCAGTAACTCTGCACCCCAGTAAATTGCATCCCAGTAACTCAGCATCCCCAGAAAACTCAGCATCCCCAGTAACTCAGCATCCCCTCTAACTCAACTCCCCAGTAATTCTGCATCCCCAGTAAGTCAGCATCACCAGTAACTCCCATCCCCAGTAAGTCAGCATGCCTAGTAAGTCAGCATCCCCAGTAATCAGCACCCCCATAAGTCAGCACCCAGTAACTCACATCCTTTTTAAAACTCTCCATCCCCAGTAACTCTGAATCCCTAGTAATCAGC